ACAAGTTTACCAGACCATGGCTATCTCAGATAGTCAAACTGATAAATTATATGCAATAATAAAATGACTAGTTATGTTCGTTTGTCAGACATTTCTGAGGTGACAGACTTCAATACTAAGATATTCAGGCCATGAATAAATTGTTGGGATGGTAGGTCATTATGTTCACCAGGATGAGTGGAATGAGGCTGAACTTCATTGTCTTCTGGTTTTAGATGCTAGAAGTCAATCTATAGGAGGCCCTACTTCATCTAAGTTTCTTGCTTGCTAGACTTTGTTAACAAGATGTGTTCACCACCAGGTTATTCAGGCCGCAACTGGATAGACTGAACTACATGAGTAGTGTGGTATCATTAACATATGAATATCATGGATAGATGGTCATAAAATTAGAAAACAATGTTTCAGATTATTTCTCAGTACGAAAATTCAAAATAATCCCTAGGGTTATTGGAAGAAGGTACGTAAGCGCTTAGATAGTGTGATTTGCTTGCTCGTGGCTAGCAGTGGAACCAAGGAAATGTGTTTCTTCCAACTTGGGACTTGTCGGCTGGATGTACCTGGATTCGAATGAGGGATAGCGTTCTCAGCCATCCCCTCGAATACGAGAATATCATCAACTGGTATGTTAGATCTCTTGTGCAACGGGTGTATCAGTTGTTATTTGTTGATCCTGGGTTCAACTTTCAGTGGGAACAACATCATTCACTAGGAGACGTGTAGATCCGCTTAACGAGTTCCAAGCAGAAAGGAACACATATCATAGATTCCACTGCAAGGCACTACCAAACAACTGACATCATAATGAGTCTTCGAGCAATATCGAGGCATCCTCACAGGAGATCATATGTCAACAGAGACCGATTAATTCTGTCCAGCATAACAATCAACGGAAAATTGTAAGTTTTGGTGCTGTATTTAAAGATGACTGTGTATCCAATTCATCTCTGTGGGTCAACTGAAAGGTGTTTCCTACCAGGACTTCTAGATTACAGCTTCTAACTCTTAAGGGGACTCCATCTAAATTCTTCCCGTAATGCTTTTCCCATCTTCTTTAAGCTACGGGTTTATGTTTTGCAGCTCAATGTTTCAATGTCCACATAAAGCTTATTTCCACTCACTGAAAAGTCCTCATACTTGGTTAGCTGTTATCTATTAATATTATCAGTTTTATCTACACTACAGTATCTAGTTCGATAGTCAAACGTTTGCTGACGCAAACTAGGCCTAGGATGGAAGTATAGAACTTAGGCACTGAAGTAAAACGCAGCTACGTATTAGATTTGTTTATTCGATGTCATAAACAGTGATATAATATCAGTTACTTGATGACGTCTAAAGGTCAGTTTGTTGCTCATATTCATATCATGGTAATCACACAACATCCTGCCTTAGTTTTCTAGTGGGACAGTAATTCCATTTTATTGATTTATTAGATTTATCACACAGTGTAACAGTATTGTTTACTGGACATAATTTATTGTCCATAGTCATATCCTGATATGACTGTTACACTGTGTGATAAATCTAATAAATCAATAAAAATGGAATTACATCCTACCACAGTGCACAAGTTTTACTCTTACATCAGTAGGACAGTAGTCCTTAAATATGGTACACTTTGCACTAAAACCGTCATTTGCAAAATGTGCTTCATTTCCTCTTCTGCTTCTTTCTTGATTTGCTCTTCATATGCCTTCCCTGTCTCTTGCGTTTCTGTTGGCAGAATCCTTACCCATTGCTGGTAATTCCCTATGATTTCTGCCACCCTCTCAACATATACTACTTATATCCATTCTTATCAGCAACGCCCACTACATTAGGATTTCCCATGTATTTGGAATCGGTGTTGAATCACTCACAACGAACTGAGCAGAGTAACAGTCCCGAAGACTTGTGTAGTTAATTCGAGGGAGAGAGATCATAGAATCTCTACTCATCGATCCAACGCCCAAGTTGTGTAAGAGGAGTAATCCAACACTGATTCCGGCTAGATAAATGGAAAATTCTACTACCAATCAAAGCAAAGAATGTAAAGGCAGAAGAATGATAGAAAAACAAAATTAGTACGTTATGTGATTGCCTTGATATGAAAATGAGCAGTGAATTGAGCTCAAAAAACATGCAGTAAATAATAATATTATTATTGTGTACTTTATCAAGTAAACTGATCTAGTATGTCTAAGAAAGCATCTGATTTTAAGTATCTGCTCTTCATGAAAAATGATACTTTAAAAAGGGATAGGTTAACTCGTCTAACTGTATGCACATTCTTATAGGTGATTTCCGCAGTTTTCTTATCGGCAATCGATTTATAAATTCTCCTTTAGAAAATCTACATCTTTTCTTCCAATACAATTCTTATATTTGTTGACGGCACATTATCAGTTTATCTACCCCATCTGACAATTGGGCATATCACCAACTTGACAGTATGTATATTACATTATGAATTTATGTGCACGTACGCGTTGTGAGCTGGTGAATAAGAATGAACTTGCCTTTTTGTTAATCTGCACTGTTTTCTGTACCCAAAAAAGACTCTTCACAATTCTTTTTAGAATTCATAAAGAATGCAAGCATAGTTATCGTGAGAATTTCATAATATTCCTTAGCTCAAGGAATTTAAAGGACGTATATAGCAGAATATTGTATTTCAAAGTTTCTCATCAGGTGCTAGCAACCTAAACCAGCTGAAGCGATTGGTCCCAGTGGGAACAACATCGCTCATTAGAAGGCAAGTACATCCAACTGACGAGTTCCGAATAGGACGAAACACGATTCCTGGATTCCACTGCTAGCCACTATCCATCACTAATATACAATTCTAAACCAATTTATTTACCAGAACATGCACCAAAATGCTTGCATACTTGAATCAGTTTGATCGAAAAATATCAGCTTGTTGAGACGATAACATTGATATGCTGTGATTGAAAACACACTTGAGTGCACGAATATACAAGTGGTAGAATTAAGCTTGTCATATATAGGAAGATTCAACGAATATTCTAGAATGGAAGTTGTATAAAATGGGGTTGGGCAACAAATATATTTCACATATTGAGAAATGTGTTACTTGAGAATACTTAAAAAGTGTTGGAGGACTTATACGAGCTAAGAAAATAAGTGTGAAATGGAACAAGAAATAAATGTTACATGAAAACATCGAGATCATAAACATCAACAAAAATCAACGTGGCGGGAACAGACTGACAGTTGCTTCTCTACGAAAACATAAATTCGGCTTTAATCACTTATAGATTAGTGTTACAGCAAAACACAAACAATTTCGAGTCAATCTGTTTAGAATTTATCTTAAACGATTTTCGGTTATCAACTCCATAGCCGTTGGACTGTTGAAAACTTTCACACCTCTTAATCACAAACACCTTGAAACTTTCTTAAAAATACGTTCTCGATTCATACGCCTATGTTGTATGTTCTATTTTAGTGTCTAGACTTCATTGTCTGAATTGTACTCATCGTATCTTCTTAGCTAGTGTAAATCTTAAATATTTTTAAGCAACATATTTCTCAGTATGTGGAATATATTTGTTGCCCAACCCCATTTTATACAACTTCCATTCTAGAATATTCGTTGAATCTTCCTATATATTGACAAGCTTAATTCTACCACTTGTATATTCGTGCACTCAAGTGTGTTTTCAATCACAGCATATCAATGTTATCGTCTCAACAAGCTGATATTTTTCTATCAAATTGATTCAAGTATACGAACATTTTGGTATGTCTTTCGGTAAGCCAATTGTTTTAGGTTGTTAGCAGTTGATGAAAAACTTCGAAATACAATTGATCCATGGTATTCTGCTATACCCCTGTTCCCACTGTTTATATACAGTATGAATATATGTGTATGTTCATAGCTTTTTGTTACATTATAGTTAGTAGAAGGTTGAGAGAACAGTCAGATGCTGAGACTGAAGTTGACAGTTGCCTCAATAGACTATCCATCAAGTCTCTCACTTGAAGTGTAACACATAAGGCAGCAGAAGGACGCTAAAAGTTACATTTTTAAGGTTTGCGGCAAACAAAGCAAGCTAGTATTACATTCATTCCATATGAAACTGAAATTGGTGTTTTATAACTCGCTTAATTAACTTTTTTATATTATCAATGTAGCGAAGAGCGGCAAACATTCGCGTTTACATCTACTCTGTTATGGGAACAACTCGTGTAATAGGAAGCGGTGAGTAGGGATTTACAGTTGGAGACTGAGACGGTATAAAGTTTGAGAGCATATCAATAGAATGAGCGAATTCTAACCACCGTCACTTATACTAGGGGAAAATATGATGTTAAAGTAGAGGTAGGTTACTGTGTTAGTAGATAATTTCCCAAGAAGGTGAGTTTCTGCTCTTTGATAATCTGACACTGATTGGTTGGTGTGAACTATGTACTTGATTCACATAGGCTTACACATGAATATTTGTGAGTGACTATCTTTACTCAATTTTCTCACATTTCAGAACATGAGTGTACAGGTAGCTGCAAGTAGTAGATAGCTAATGTTTACGAGTCAATTCGAAATAAGTTGAGTGGATTTCACTTACTTCTAAGGTTTAGGATTTAGGGTTAATACCGGGCTTGGAAAGAATTCTAAAACACCATGGACAAGCAGAATAGGAATCAGTTGGCAAGAAGCCCTGCTCGGTACAAGATTCATGCCTGTTGGCATATCTGCAGCCTCTAGGAAACTGATATCCCCTGAGATGTTCAAACACGAGCCAACTTGCGCTAAGCCAGAATACTACCACTGAGCTGTATTCGGTTGTGGAAACAAGTTATCTCGATGGACTACGTTGACTGTGGCCTCTTTAGTAGCTGAAATTATTGGCCGAATGCGTTCATCAGTATGCGTTTAGTGTTTCGCTCGTTATCGATGTACTTTTCCGCTGAACAGTGTAAATTTAGCGTTCCATGTTTTAATTACACATTAAATGTTCAACATATTTTTTGTTTATTTCATATTGTTACAGTTTCATCATGCAATCAGTGAAGTAGAAGCAAGTTTGAAAGCTCGCGTCAGAATGACAGATCAAAGAAATCAGAGAATGTTACCGGCTACTCTGAAAAACTGTACAATATTGGCTAATGAATTCAGAGTGAGTTCAGAAAACGTATACATTATGCAGTATCTTTCTTTCGCTTAGCTATTTTTAAGAAAAAAAAAATGATTTCAATGAACAATTACCATTTTTAAAACTGTTTAATTTGACTCATAAAAAGTTCACAATAGTGAATAATTATTTGAATCAAGCATTCTGTCATGACCTTGAAATAAGCACATATACCTTAAATATGAACACACAGTCGGCAATTAAATATTCATTGTAAGTTATAAGTCATGTCAAAATGAAAATAAATAGGTCAGATTAAAAACTGTGGAATAATTCGTTATAAACTGAACGTTTCAAGTAATCGCTCGAAGACGAACTGTTCAATGGTCATGGTCATCAATAAGAACAGAGTAAGGCTTCACAGTCTCAAACGAAAATTTTCGTTGAAGATCATAGGATAGGAAAAAATAGTGAAGGTACAATGGAGAAATCGTTTACTTAGATGTATGTGTAAGCTATCCTTACTGCTGTAAAAAATGGGATATGAAAAAATGTGAAAGCGAATGTTAAAACTCGCTAATAAGCATCATACGGCTATTCGACACTTCCTTTTCCTTCTCATTTAATTAGTTAAAGAAATAATAAACCATTCATAGAATAAGTATAGTACTTACTGCAGTAGGACTCAAACATTTAGGCACCGCTGTGACGACAGAAAAGTTTTCAGCAGGTGGTCATATGAATTTTTTACTTATGGGATGTCAGAAACTGGCATTACTCTTCTGTTTGTAGTATCACCAATATGTGGTACTCCATACCGATAAAGCGGTATTTCGAATTACAAGCCATCAGCAAATTATCAATTATATGCTAGCAATTATACTAAAGATTTATGTAGTTTGAGGTTTTTGGGGAATTCTACTTCAGGATAGTATTCACTACGGATTGAAATCAGTTGAAGAACTGTTGAAATCCTTGGGGTGCTGAGCAGTTTTGTTCTAGGTTTATCGTAAATATAACTAACAGATCAATCACAAACAAATCTATTCAAAAGACTTAAGGTTTTATTATTTTAATTTTGTGCTTAAATAACTAATGAGTAGTCTAATACATTGGTCAAAAAATACTTCCGTAAAAGCATAACGTAATATGATTGCTGAAAAAACCTTTGCCAATGACTTTTCCACCCAAGATCTTCAGTTGGCATTCGCTTCATACTTCCAATGATAGTCACTCTATATCGTGAATCGAAAGAAGTAAGAAACTGTGGACCACTGAATTCCGACCCAGTGGCTGAATGTTTTACGCGTTCGCCGTGAAACTTGAAGGCTCTGAATTCAATCTCTAGGCTGGTGTGGGGTGTGTACTGCTGAGGAGACCTGTACTAGGACGAAGCAGTTGTCCATTGCGCCCAGGTTTTTAATAGTTCTCCAACTGATGTCAGTCCGTGATGAATGCTACCTTAAAATGAATATCCCTATTAACCCCAGAATAATTTTCAGTCCACGCTAGAACTCTGTAGCCAGTTCGTAAACACATATACCGCTCGAAATCTATCAAAACAATAAGTTGGAAACTAGACTCAATGAGACTACATGAGCTCATGTGTAGACATAGTTACAAAATACACCAATCGGCTCAAAATAAGTTTTTGGTTAGAAATTCCTGAAGCTTATCTGCAGATTCCATGAGGCATCTCATAGTAATACAAAACGGGAGACAGTTGTAACATCGAGTTATAGTTCAGATTACTAGCAGTTTGCTTCCATAGATTACCTGAATTGCATAAATCAACCGACCCGAATGTACTAGTATATAAACGGTTAAATACGTCTGAAATAGATTCATTTGCCCATCTTTTATTGAAGGACTGTCTTGGGAGTTACTCTTGATAGTGCGCTACATTAATTATTGCTATGGTTATTTGACAACCCAATTGCCTCAAAGACTACATTTCTAAGTGTTATATGCAGCAATACTGACTAGGATTTTCTGGTGGAAGCATTAATTTATTTGACGATTAATTGGTTGGTCATTGGAGGATAATCAAGTTTATGCTGTCTGGTCCTTTGTGTTGAACGAATCCTATTGATTATTTTGCAGTGTGAGCATCAGGCTAGCTGACGAGTGCCAACTACTATGAAACCTAGGCTAAGCAAGAGCTTTTTGCAGATCGCCTGTCATCACGAAACTTGTTAATTCGCATACACTTCTTTGATAAATGATAACGGCTAAGAAACTTAGATGGGAAGTTTCCTATTGACCACTCCCTAAATTCGAACTCTGCACAAACGTTAACATCTATCTTTCTGAAAATACTACCTAAAAATCTGGTTATCATACACTCAAGTTGTTAAAAACTGTAGTTATAAATAAGAAGACTAGCCAAGCATACCAATATGATAAAATTTTGTAAGTAATTGTTTCCGAATTTAAAAATGTTTTTCTTCTCTTATCACACAAAATTGCTAAAAATAATTTAGGAACATTTCAACCATATGATTCACTTATGGGGTCGATCGGGGAATTTACTCGAAGAAAGTCGACGCATCGTCCCAGTACACCTACGATTGGGTGGAGTTGTTGATGGTGTCAGTACAAACACTGAGTCTGCTGGTCCAGTTATGGCAAGAATGTTAACTTCACTGACAGGACCAAATTATGAGTTGAAAGAAGGTGAAGAGGTACGGGTCATATCGAACAGAGATGATCAACACTTCTGGACAGTACAAACAAATAATGGTATAGTAAAGATCCCGTCTGTTTGTCTATGGATAAGTGATCCAGACTTAGAGGCTGTAAAGCGATCAGTTATGTAAGTGTAATTCTGATTAATTTATTTTGATGCCGGATGATATTTCACTCACAATTTATTGTCTATAACTGCATCATGACAGTCAAAAGATCAGTAGCTGGGGAGAACTTACATATTCTGATAAATTTATCAATCTTAAATCATCCTACTTATATTATTTGCTAGCAGGTGGCTAGCAGTGAACGCCAGAACGTTCATTCCGTCCTACTTAGGACTCGTCGGCTGGAAATACTTGCATCTCAGTGAATGATGGCATCCCCACTGAGATTCGAATCTAGTACTCAACGCTTCAAATGCCATAGCATGATCCACTAGGTTGGTGAGTCACAAAAGTTAACTTTTGTGCAACGGGTATCACTGCTAATCGTTGATTCTGGGTTCAGATTTCAAGGGAACGACATCACCCGCTGGGATTAAGGTACATCAAACCAACGAGTGTCAAGTAAAATTAAACATAAGTTTAACAAATAACACTGGAGTGAAATTAAAGGCAATATAGAAGTACCATTTCAAGAAATTCATATGCCAAGAGAGAATGATTAATTCGACCCAGTAAAATTAAATACTAGAAATTTTCGTGTTAATAAGATATGACACTAGTTGAATAAATCTGAAATCTAGTAACCTTGTACAGCTGTTTTATGCTTATTTCTTCTCAGCAGTCTAAACTATAAGTTAGTAGAGGAACATCTGATGCTACATTTCCCTGCTTACTGGTTACGAAAAAGGGTTCACACGCCATTTTTACAATACCACTTATGGATCCTATGCTTGGTACTGCGGTTTTTAAGCTTCTGTAATTAAATTCATCATATCCACCAATCCAATGATAAACATCGGATATTCACTTTCATCATTTCACCTCGTTTTGGAAGGTAGTCAATTGGATTTCCGTAGCATAGAATATGAGCCCGGTAGTCATGTAAAAGCACTTTCACAAGAACGAGATCCACCTACTCTTGGTTATTACATAGCATTTTGGCGGTGGAAGTAGCAAGAGACAACAACTCAAACTCAGATACCACTGGAAAGTTATTTCAGCTTGGTTCGGAACTCCTAAACACAGCCAAGTATGCATGAGCTCAAATGATATCAAGCTCATGGTCTTGAAATATCCATAGTGAACACATTGCTCATCTATCACGAAGTTAGAATTCACTGGCCTACATTTTCTGGTTCAAATGAGGACAGAGTTAGGCAGAAAAGAAAGGTTGTGAAGGCATTATCAAATTCAAAATCACCTTAGTTAAGGTATATAGTTCAAATGATTGCAGTCAAATTAATCAGTGGATGGAATTCAGCGGATTTAATACTGATGATGGTATCCTGTCTGATAATGAAATGTCTGCGAAGAAATATTAAGATGTGGAACATCATAACTCCATGTCAACACTAACTGTGAATACTCAAATGGTTTTTCCCCTCACTAGTACACACACAAATTTTAATCATGAATAAAGTCTACTCAAAATGTTCATAATCAGTTATTGCTACAAATTTATGTTCAGTAGTGAATTAGACCGACTGTTCTTTGAACAATTGAATAGAAACGTTTCAGACAATCTATACTGTAAGACACAACAGAAGAACTGAACAAGGAATAATTTAAAACGCTCCAAGCGACCACAGCTCACATCGATACATGAAGGTAAAAGATACCAAAATGAAACACAGAGAAATAGGGAAGAAACATGTAATTAGAAGCCATAGAAAGTAATAACAAGAAGAAAGAGGGGTAAGGGATGACAAAATGGGATTTGAGGATTAAAATAAAGATAATGTGTGGACACATCCTCATGACTAAAGTCACTTCTTAGCCACATCATACAGTCTTTAATCACCGATTTCAGATACAGCACAGACCCCGAATCAAGAATTTTACCGTACCCTGACCAGTAGTTAGGGATTTCATGAACTGATATCATGCCTTGTTGTGGTGGCATTCAACCTTTTGATACCATAACCTTGCTTTGGTCACCCTAACGTCACGGGGAAAAAGGTGACCAGGCATACGAAACACATGTCTCTGACGCCTGAATTGATAAAGGATTAAAGACTTATCAACTGACTTTCGTTTTCTACCAAAAAGTTTACGCCTGACTTCTACAAGATTAACGTGGTGTTTTCACAGTAACGACCAAGGCTAAGTCCCTCTCTTCTCTCTACCTTCAATGACCATTTTTCATAGTAATGGAAGAGAACTCAGCAAACTTAACAGGCAATGAGATAGCCTGCCAGCACTATAGATGGTGTAGGCTGGCAAAAATCAGTCAAGTCTTTTATAAACATGTAGAGACTTTGTCGATCTCTGCCCCCTCAGAGCTTGTCCGAATTCTCAAGTAAGCAAAGCAATCAATGTCCTCAACCTCTTCACTCCCTATTGTCAAACGAGGCATAAATGCGAACCTTTTCTCTTCGTGGTGAGCAGGAAACAACTGCTTTCAAAGTTTCCACAACTGTTGTCAATTAGTGATGAAAACTACTTTAAGATCAATTAACCCCCCCCTGGCAACCACTCAATGAATAAGCCATCTTTGCATAGGCTATTTTAGACCAAATAGGTGCTTGAAAATTCTAAAAACGTTGAACTTGGTATAACTTTACAGATCTAACAAAAATTTTGTGCATGTGTGTGTATATGTGTGAAAAATTGTGCGAAAATGTCATTATCAATAACACTATTCTCAAGGAAGAAGCAAAAAGTGAAGCTAGGCAAGAGTAGGCTCAAGTTGTGAGATTTATAAACTCTGATCTTCACGCTGGTTGACAGAACGACAAATCGACACAGAAGGTTTCGTAGAAGTGATACACTTATGGTTGTTACACTCCTCACCAGTAGAAACAGAAAAAGGGAATAGAAATGAAATGATATTGAAGTAAGCAAAAATGACATGGGAAGGAAAAGGAATATTCGATGAAGTAATTAGAATTTCAAAATGTCGGCAATGACTATATACATCCACAGTAATAGGATCCCTTTTCAACGTCATCACTAGGAGTCTCTAACTACTTCCTGGTTCCTAATATATTCATAGGCCGGATAAGTAGTATTTTATTTCTTATGCAGACGGTTTGTATATTAGTATGATATGTTGGTATATTGGTATATTAGTGCCCTTTCGAGATCTGGCCACCCCCAACTTTCTTTTAACTCAATCCTACTTCAGGTAACATTGAGAGTAGATGCAAACAGTAACCTATTAATATCCAACTCGCAATATACTTGTGCACGAATAGTAATTCATATATCGAAACCACAGAAGTGAAGCGTTTATTTCTGACTGGAAAGCTGGTGGAATATGAGGAGGATCCAGCAGAAGAATGGAGACTGAGATCCACTGACTGTTACGTATCAAAATTTCTTAGGCCGTATGTAAGCTATCACCCTTTTTGGGGATTTGTCGGTATTTATTTATTGATTTAAGGTTAGTATTCACCAGTCGAAGAGGGATTTGAAACCTGAGAGGACTGGTCAGCTGTTTCATCATAATGCGGGACTACTTAGCAGTGAGCACCCATGACCCCGCCAGGGATCGAACCCAGCACTGAATCAATGGACCCTACTACTGTTTATAACATCAGTTGCCTTAATTTAATCTAACGTTGTTAGTACACCTGAATGCATTGCGTATTGTTCATTGTTTTCTTCCTGACAACTTTTTGATTTAACGGGATAATACTGTGAAAAACTGAACAATTACCTGCTGACTCCACTCTGCATGGTGGCTCGATTACTTCTACAACCAATCTGATATTTACATGTATGGTTCCATGCTTTTTCTCGAAACTTTGGATTATGTTGTTTGGTTGTAAAGGAACGCAGACTTTTTTAAAGCATCTGGACAATAATACAGCATACCACAATATTTTTAAAGTACAATTGAATAAAATTTTCGCTTCTTTTCGACAATAAAGAATAACCACAGTTTTCTTCTACTCTAATCGGTAATTATTATTATTATCTTTTTAGACTTCGAGAGAAATGTATCGAATCGTGGGATTTGTTAGTGGAGAGATCACGTGAACGGCTCAGATCCTACTACAGTTGTTTATTGAATCAAATGGCAGGGAATGGAGTAAGTTATTCCTCATTTTGAAAATATCACAAACATGTGTTCATGATTTTGGTTATAAAGTAGCGCTTGTTTACCATATGGATATCATACAGGTATAGCAGCAAACGATGAAGCATAAGAACCATTCGATTAAAGTTGCTATACTTCTCATGAACATGTCAAAGTGAAGTCAAAAATAATAAATATACATTTGAGTAGTTCTTGAAATACTCATTTGTAGTTGAAAAAGGGTTTTCATAGAAAATCAGTTAACTAAATACATCATGAACTAACAAAATATACCACTGTATATTGTGTAAACAAGAAACTAGTACAGAAATATATGAGAGGATTATGAGAGAATTAAATAACTATAGTAATGAGATTATAAGAATAAATAAATGTGTGGATGGGTTTACATTGTAACCATTGTAACTGAATAGTTGCCTTACCACTTGAAGTATGTAAAAAAGCCAATTTCTGTTATTTTTTGAGTCGAAATTAAGAGGATTCCTTGCCTCGAATCACTTAAATCTACAGTCAGAGACTTCTTAGGTAGGTAACAAACGTTTCTTGGTCTAATCAACTTAAGCTTCCTTCCAACCAAGTCCTATCTCAGCCAAACATTACATGGTGGTTAAAGTTTTGGGTTGATTTGCATAACATATGTCTCAAAGACATCATTCAATGAAGATTGACAACATCAATAATCTAGTTCTTTAAGTCCACTTTTTGTAAACCATGAATTTCTGATTGAAAGTAACAGGCTTAATTAGGAATGATCGATTGACAAAGTTGTCGGAATGGTAGAGTTGTATTGGTGGCTTTTCTGACTGTAATATGTTGTACACAAGTTCAATTTATCTCCACACATAAGTTTTCATCCATGAGAGCTACTGATACAGCAGTTGTCAAGCAATGTAAAACAAAATTAAATGTTAACGAAATATAATGTTAAAAAGTGTAAAACATAATAAAAATGTCTCAACTCTCGTAATTGCGTAATAGTGAGTTATAAGTTGATCTGAACAGTGCAAGGCTAAAAAACACAGTATCTGACATAAAGATTTTGATTCCCAGTATAGATAAAAGACCTGAAAGTGATTTACTTTCTGGTCAATAATCTCTTCAGTGCCTAAAAGAATCAATCATAGTTCAACCAATACATCTGTAAATTTTATGCGAGAATTTCAAGTCAAATGTATAAGTGACACATAAAGATATCTCTTTGAATACAGTACTCAAACTGTGAAGTTGCAAGGTATTCACCACATTATCATTGTATAGGTGTCATTTCAGTTGCAAATGAATGGTCACGATATACTAGAAACTGATAAACAACACAGTCATCACAAGTAACAAATCGAAGTCATTTAAAGGAATAAATCATCTGTCATAACAAAATACTGCAGATGATTTAAAAACTTGAAGAAACTCAGCAAGTAATACATGAAACGTAGGAAACAAGAGGATGAGTTAGTAATGCAATATGAGGTAGAAAAGGACAAACCAATTCACTGAAATGGTAAAGAAAACATTTTAATACAAGTCTGCCGTTACAACTTGTTAACCAAACGAAACAAGGCTACTTGTTAATAATAAGTAGTATGAAGCAGGAGACATAAAAAATGGGAAGGTTTTAGTCACGTTATTAATTGAAGGCGAATATACGAGGAGTAGAAAAAAGTGGACTTGACATTATTACTGCAGGAAAATTTATGTGCAGATCGTATGTGATCACAAGTTTAGTTGACTTTATGAACCGTCAATCTGATATAATTACTGGCAATTTAATTATCTCCGTTAGTGAAAATCGTGGTCAGTGTTCCAACAAATAGATTTGGCGTCAATACATTACATGAGCTAAATTATTAACTGCTTTAAGTGAATCCATAAATTCAAGATGACGTTGTATTGACCAGGAATACTTTGACCTTGGTTTTGCACTTATTTTCGCTCATCAGAAAGACTTACCTACAACATTGCGGTAAACCTATAGTGTCGATTAGGTTTAAATGTGCAAGTTTCAAACCTCACTGAGATACTATGGATAGGGATTTCTAGAACAACCACCTGATGTTCAGTTTGTGTAGGCAGAAGTAAAATCTGATTCACTCAGTAAGGATCGTTCCTTTGTAGATCATCACTTACACAGTAATCGCTCAAGTTGTCCAGACGGAACTTAATAGTATCCCACGGAAATATGACATTTGTGGTCGCTCAGTTGTGGGTGAAGTGTAATTAGGCTAAATTTAAAAGTTCTTGCCTTTTGGCTTATTCGCAGCCTTCAAGAAATTTATTTTCCTTCAAACATTCAAACTTGCACCACTCAGTGCCCAAGGTGAACGCGTTACAAATACGATTTCCAGCAAATAACTGACTCCATGAAATGTTGGACTATGCATAAGAATTAGTTGGTATCTAATCTGAATCTATCGACAGCGAATTCGGTTAATTGAAAAAAGTAGTGAATTGTGATAAATATCAGACATGCTGACTTCAAACGCCTTCGTTATCATTGATGTCTTGATGATCAGCATATGAACTCAATAGAAACCGCTTTAAATTAGAAAGTGTTGTCTACTGTGTTGATGAGGTACAATAGCTATCTCTGGTTCCAAAATATTAGTTTCTACGGAGATATTTATAAGCTTTCACTGACATACAAACTCTCGGTACAGATATTTCGTTATTGTTCTTAATGGTGTTTATAGTAGTTTTATTTCAAATAGAACTCACCAATTGAAAAAAAATTCATTTTAATGAAAAATCCTAGTTTAGAAAAAAAGTGCTGGGAAAATACTATAGGTGTGATCAAAATAAACTTGCAACGTCTATGCTACGACCCGATATACCAAGAAGGCGTGGTCAGTTTGCCACTGTAAATCACTAGTGTAGGATTTCAGACTCTAAAAGTACGCACACACACACACTTCTCAACCCGTCTTTTTTACTTGGAACCAGTAGGCTGTGCTTCATTGGTCTAGACATGTGGCTTTCAACTAATGGGTCATGGGTTCGAACCCGGCTCCATGGCATCATCTCTTTGTGCATGAATATGCATATGATTATTGAAAAACGCAGTTTTCCTTACTTTAGTAACGATTATTGACTGAAAACCCTAGTCTGCAAACTGAGGGAGAGAAAGAGAATCAGATGATTAGCTTCATTGGAAACTTTTTGTAAAATACAAATTTAACTTCACCCCTGTCAGAGAAAGATATTAAATCTAATTCATAAATATCTGAAGCAAGTTGAGAAGTGATAATTTGAAAAAAACCTTTGGACTGGGCAATCATTTCCATGAGGATATGCAAACTTCAGTCTACAATTCTACATTTATCACAGGTAACACGCTACATACGTATGTTCATTGTCTTTTATAGCCAATTGGACACCTCAAGATCATTCAAACAGAGGAATTTAGACCTTTTTATCATAATATAACCTTAAATATTTCAAATTCTGCTTCATGATGAAAGTGCTAGAGCTTAGCATAATGAAACGTTAATGAGTAAAAGCAATCTCTTTTTTAGTATTTTACTCATTGGTAAATAAAAATACCGAAATGTATTGAATCCAACTAAATTCTGTTTATATTACATTTTCCTTATAAATCTCAGGATATTTATTATAATAAAAAACCAGCTATGGATAATTTTATGGAAGATTTAAGGAATTTACTTCTGCCAAATGATAATCGAACAAGTGAACTAGGTCAAGCTGTGTACGCATTTACAGACAGATTGAAAATGACAGATAGTAAGTATATGTCAACTGATGCATTTTATTTATCTACTTATTTCGCATAACTCTTCTTCGCTTTTCCTTACTTTCAATATATTTTATCGTGAATGTTGTAGAACAAGAGTACTACTATTACTGCCTGTCACTTTTGGAATGTTTTGAAAACCATAACACTACGAATGATAACACAACATACTCATTGATAGTCATTATTACTTTCATATAACTGACTACTGTTCAGTAGATTTTATTATTAGAATAAACATAGAGGTTGACAGTACGTGGTAAACAATAGTCTTAACAATACCACTACCATTAGAAATAATTGGGGCTTTTTTAAAAGAATGACAAAACTATGCGCTCGTTTCTTTTATTTTGTTTTAATTGTTTTGTAGCTAGTAATGTCAAGAATTAAACAAATGCCTGTCAGGCACATTGAATGTTCAGTTGGCAATGATAACAAATATCTCCTCCTTTAAAATAATTGTGAACAAAGTATGCAAACAGATGTAGAAACTGTGGTTACTTTTTAGAAATATTATTATATTACACAAGATCTTGCAATAGTAGAGACGATTTATAGCTCAGGATAAAAATGATAACTGATTGTTCTATGTTCTCTGGGTTTTGATGTTTGCTCTTGAATGTTTCATTCTAAGATTAGGTGAATTGATTAGAACACAACTCTCTGTGATTGAAAGGCTTAGAGAATACCAAACAATTTTTATCGTATGAAAAATCGTAATGTGTGCATATATTCTGATGACACTATCTGAGATAGGACTGATTTAACAGACTGAATGAAATTGCTGGGAGATGAAAGAACGTCTGCATCTAACTGAATTACCGTGGGTGGTTGGAGTGAATTGAAAATCTGGTCAGCAGTCGGACTTCCTAGCTCAGTTAGCAGAGTACCAGCCAGGAGACCTGGTGGCCGCTGGTTCGAATCCCGCCGTAGTTCAAATTTCCATTTCACCATCAATCATCTCTCAGTATTATTGTCGATAAAACTAATTTACCTACTACCAATCAATAAGTAACATTTTGTTAAAAAGTATTTTCCATTTTGCTTCATCTTTTTAGTTGATCGACAACGTAGTACATCACAGAGTGGGACAGTTTTACGTGAACAAGATATTGTTGGTATGCATAGTCCATTGTTAAGACTTCGGGATCATGAACGTCAAATGGAGCATTTACGTGCACAATCTGAATTAATTGGAACACATATGACAAATTATCTACGTGAAATTGATGCAGATCAAAAACGAGTTGATAATGAATTATCTTTAATTGAGTAAGTTAACTAATACTGATTAACAAGTTAGTGAGAAGATATTATGTTTGATGTTAGGTGGTGGTAGTTGATCGATAGGAGGGCCTGTCTGACTTAGGTTGACACTTAATGGCAAGGTGTGTCTGCAGTTAAGAGGAAACTATTCATCACACAGTTATAAACTTACATCACTCAGCGCTAGAGCTGGAGACCTGGTGATGTAGGTTCGAATCACCTAGAGAAAACTGGTTTGCTCTTGATTTCAGACACGCCTTGCTAATGTGTCAATCTGCAGGAAACTTAAATCAAGCAGGGATGTCTAACAACTGCCTCTCATTATCTAACATCAGGATACAGTGCACCGCAGTTGCGCATCACTTCGCTTAATGGCCACATTGAAAAACTTAATCAATAGACTTCGATCGATGTTGAACACTAAAAACTAGACATCTATGTTGTTTGCCCACTGATGACTAGTTCATGAAGATAGTCTTCATTTATGGACTGAAAACAACTAGTGAAGTAGTGAAGGAAAAAGTGAACGGCAGTGTCGTCCTTCTTTGAGACGCATCTGTGGTGAACAATCACTACTTCACACAGGATCCATCTCAGAACTGTCAGCACTTTTCTCTTTCAATCAGTTGACTTGGAATTGGATAGTCCATATTTTCTAAAATTTATCACTTCTAGATAGCAGACATCATGCAATGTTACTAATCAGGATCCATCTTTACATCAACTAAAATAAGCTCTGAGATCCCAGTTTCTCGTAAGAACTTCAGGAGTCTCTACCGAAAAGTTGACCACTAATAAAAAGTGAATTACTCTTCAACTAAGTACTTAATACACTCTGTTAAAATATATATCATTGTTTTTTAATAAACAAACAGGTATCAATAGCATGAAAACATTCTGTCACGAGTTAAACTAGTGTACTTCTAGCAGGTAGTTGTAAGTTATTTCATTTTATTCCTCAACAACTCATAGCTGTAAGCATTGTGGACTACGTTTGAGAAGAAATTTAGAGTTTTCAAGTCTTACATAAACTGTGTCAATACATTGGAAGTCAAAGACACACTGTTTTTAAATTTCATGATTTCGTTGCAGTAGCTGTGTATGTGTGTGTATGTGCGCGCATGTATGTAGTTGGAATTTCATGTCGACTGTAACCTTCGAATCCGTGATGTCAAAAATGACAATATCTAAATAAAACTTGTTCTAGTCTTAGGGAGCTTTGGTGAAAAGTATCCTTACTCCTGGAATTGGTCTAGTCTGATATTCTACTGAAATATATATATATATATATATATATATATATATATATATATATATATATATATATATATATATATATATATATATATATATATATATCCAATTTTTAGGTTTATGGAGAATCGACTGTTTTTGAGGGAGTATTTTTCCCTTACCAATGTCAGCTAGAGACCCATTGAAAGCATCAAATTATTGTTCTACTCTAGTTTGAGACTCCTTAGCTGATCGTGTTGGGTGGAAACGTATTCTTCGTAAGACTTGACGGTCCTGACTTCGTTCCCACATGGGGTAGTAAATGCTCATTGGTGAGGAGTATTAAACTGAGATGTCCAGTGGTAGGAGGTTTATAGAAGTTCTCTGGCTGATTTCGATCCATGGTGAACACTCCTTATAATATATAGTCACTGTATGCGTGCAACAGAAAGACAGGCAGAGAGGATTATTAACTTTATTACAGATGTTTGGCTCACTTCAGGTCCAGTGTATTACAAATTGGGGATATATTTAATTCACTTACCATGTGGCGTTAACAAACCATATAAAATAAGTGTGGCTTCTAGAGAAGGTCACAAATCGATATGTGTTCATTTGGTCTTTGATCTAAATTTCGAAAGAAGAGAGATAGGAAGTGGGAGAGAAACAGTCATGTAAAAATAGTCTATAAATCTAAAACTGTTTATAATCAAGAAACAAACACAATGTTAAGGATTAAAGTCTAGAAAGTGATGATAGAACGATGTTTAGTTGCTAACAATTTAAATTTTCCACTAAGTGACTCAAGATTGAATTTCTTAGGAAAGAAGATACACCTTGCCGTAAAATGCTAACAAGCAAGTAATTTCTGTGAAGGAGAGCTCTAAAGAATAAAGCTTAACTCGACGAAAATGTATTTCAATAATAAGGATAGTACTACTAAACAACATGAGTACTTGACGACCATTTGTGCAGCTCTAAAGATTTCACTAGCTGTGGTAGAGTGATTCAAACACTTGAGGGCTGTTGTGATCGCCTGACGGTCAGCCTCAACAGTGGCACATTCAGTCAAACAAATTTAGCTCAGAACTTAGTACAACAGCATATCACCAATGGAATAACAGACAGCAAAAGACGCACAAAGTCAGCATAGAACCTCGTAATAATAATAATAATAATAATAATAATAATAATAATAATAATAATAATAATAATAATAATAATAATAGCAGCTTTATTCTGAAAGCTATTTCGGGAATACTCTACAGAATTTTCAGCACGTCATATAGCATCAGTTGGATAGAAACAATGTATATGTATGCATAGCAAATAAAATAAGTAGAAATTACTTGAAGAAAAGATAAAAATATTCTCTCTATCTACAACTTTCTTCAAAATGCACGGTCAATTTAGGTAGACAATCACATTAGCAATTAGATTCATAATACGTAAAAACTAACAACTTCTGCACATTGCACATCCACGTAGGCTCTTGTCACTCAGCATCCCCAACACATGCACAAACCATCTTAGTCACTACACCTTCACTACCTCCCCCACCAACCTTTCACTTGCTTGTCTCCCCTACTACTACACTTCACCCAACCTTCACATTGCTCACACCGTCCTACCGCCACCAAACACCATCAATGCAAAGAAGACACCTGCAGTCAATCACTTGTCATTTACACATATCTTCCACTCTCAACTGCTATGTCTCACAGTCACAGCCGGACAACACCACAGAATGGACTGCACTGTACTGCACTATACTCGTCCTTCAACACCTACTCGCAAATCTCGACCGCCAGTTCGCGTCACACATCACACTACTTGGAAAATGCGAAACCCGCATTTTGCATCTTACCCAGCTCACATTTCCTCAACCACCAGTCTGTTCGGGTGAACGGGTTAACGCATTCCTTCCACTACCACTGCAGTTCCCTGCCATAAACTCACAATACCTCCACACCACTACTCAATGATCAGCTCACATTTCTAACGTCCCAAAATCATGCCAAACATACTCACATGCTATTATCAACGCGCTCACACCACTCCGCGTTTCTTCAGCGTTTTCGTCTAACACGACAATGTCCTCTGAGCATTCCACGTCAACCGCATGCTGCACATGCAGTACGGGCTCTATCCCAGGGGAATCTCAGGCAGCCATTCTTACGTCTCTCAACACACTCACAGTAACCAAGTCCAACGGGAACCGTAACAGCCAGCCAGCATCCCTACCTGACACCAGTCCTTGTCATCATTTTACACGACAACTCTACACATAAGACCGAAACTCAGCTGCGTCACTGCCATTAGACGGCCTTCATTAGCGTTACACACTTTTTCGCCACACCATTCATAGTCACGCACTACCACAACACAACCCCTGACAGTCGTCACAGTTAAATCCTCTTTTTAGGTCAAGAAACGTGGCGAGTATTGGGAATCCGTTAGCACATCTTTCATTCAGCTAAGTTTTGTGCTCGCAGAGCCTAGTTGACCCTGGTCAACTGCTTTAAGCTGTGTGTGTAACCTTCCAAGATATGGAGTTGAAGGAAATGCTTGACTGTAGCTGTGGGTGCAATTAAATACAACCACTCCTCTAGCTGAGACATGGGGACAGTTCATGAAACTAAATTGTGTCGAGGGAGAGATTGATAATCGGGTCCTCGCTTATGGAATCAACACCAAGTACCTGCAACACAAATGATTCTGCATCTGTTGAAGTTATAAGAAATATTCGGCTGCAGGTGTCAGAAAGAAGGATGGGGAGTTAGAACTTCATAAACTATGACTCAAAGTTGTTGAAATACCTTGATATGAATATGAGTAATAAATTGTCAGAAATGTGACCCAGTAAATAGTAATTCTGTCTCACTATATGATGCACTTAACATTTCAGCTGAAATTGGAATTCTTTGGCCGATTTGGAAGGGATTGACAACTTAATCTTGACTAAAGATGCATTAGAGATTCGATTAGATAAACGTCGAAATGTTTGGTCATATATTATGTTTTTGTTGTAATTACATAATGTTGATTTTGTATGGTTTTTGATAAACTTTAAATTAATATCGGAAACTGTTAAAAGCAAAATTAACAAGGTTGGAAATAAACGCCATATTGGCTTTCGCAAACCTACAACCCTTATGGCTCATTTGGGATATCTGAATAGCCTGTTAAGACCTGAGTGTGCTCTGCAGTACACTCTTTCCCATTATATGGTCGAGGAACACGCTATGAGGATTTGTCACTATATCGGTTATTTAACCACTATTGGGAGTCGGTAAGAAGGCTTGCTCGATCAAAGTTTCGTGTTTGTTCGATAGACTTCAATCACTAAGGTCTAGATAACTTCATCGCTTATCCACTAGTGACCAGTCCAGTTCTACAAGGGGTCAGTCGTTGCATGAATAGCTTAGAAGCGAAGTTTTCGACTTCAGTACTGAGTAAGTAATAGCCAAATCATGCATGGACATATCGATCTAACAGTTGCAGATACACCTTGGCGATGAGTGCCAAAAAACTTCATGTTGACTAACTCTTTACATTTAATATTTGAGTCGAATTTTTCATGAGAAAGAACCATAGACATGTTTAAATGAATCTCCTTAGCAAGTCTATTTCTTCAAAAATATTTAATATTATACTGTGTATATTATTTTTACATTTTCTTAACTAGTCAATTACAGCACGAGAGTCAATCTCAACTAGATCAATTGATAAGTCGTGTGAAAAGATGGGTAGCCGAGTTGAACATGAACCAAATATCGATTCGAGTATAACAAATTCTAGGATAAGTTCAAGTTTAAAGTCGAGTACAATTTCTGAAAATTGGACAACAGGTAATATGAATTATCCAGCTAGAACGAGGTCACCACACCCAATAGTAAGAGAACAATCAAGGCTGTCTACCAGTACATCAAGGTCAGAATCTCTTCCACGTCCAGCAGTTGATGCCATAACACAAATCGGTGTAACAACAAGAACAACAGGAACACAAAGTACTGATTTTCTCGATAGCGTTGATTTACGCATATCTAAAGGACAATCTGCACCAGCTCTAGCCTCATTACCGTTACCAGTACCTGAAAGGAAACAAATGAGAAATGCAATCACTCAGATAGGAGTGGCAAAAGTTGATGTAGGCACACAAGATGACTATCCAATTTCAAGTCAGTCTAAACGTTCTGTTAAAGAGGTCTTATGTCAAATTGGTCAGATTACAGCTAATGTTTCGTGTCAAACACAAGATATTTATAAATCACAACAACCAACTTTAAAGAAGTATACACTAGATGCTGTGGTTCAATCTGGAGTAATTACTATGAATAGTTCTACCCAATCAGAAAATATCCAAGAAAATTTAGTAAGAATGGAACAATTAGCATTTCAAAAACAGACAAAAAAATATAATGTATTAGATGCTATCTGTCAAATAGGTCAAGTTACAGAGACTATAGGAACACAAACTGAACGAAAAGAAGCTGAAAAAGATATAAAAAAGAATTTCGGTGTACAAATAGAGCCAAGACAAGAAACTCGATATACTATCAAAACAACTGAGGCTGCATGTCAAATAGGCAGGATTACAATGAATGCAAGCACTGAGACATCGCCTGATATCATGAGTAGAGAAGTGTTAATGAAGTCTGATATAAAAAAGAATATCAGTAATATAAAATGTCAAGTAGGTAAGGTGGAAAAGACAACATCAACACAGACAATGATTACAGAAGGTGTTCAAAAGGCTAAACCTCAAGATGAATCACAACAGTATGAAGTACCGAAATCAACTTTCTCTCAACAAGCAGATTTCATAACGGCCACACCGCAAAAATTAGTTCACAAAGCAATTAGTGACGTGGTCTGTCAAGTTGGACAGGTCAAGAGTGATATGTCAACGCAATCAGCAGAATTCACAGCTATCAAACCTGCCTACAGAGACACTGGTACTGACCCAGTTCAACCATGGGGAAAGAAGGTGGCCAATGATGTTGTCACGCAAACAGGAATCGTACACACATCGAAGATCACTCAAGCTGAACTGAAACAAGAACAGCCAGTATATGTGAAGACAATAGAAACTCAGGATGCACCGATCATATCTCACAGACAAACAGCAGATGCAGGCTTGCAGGTGGACTTCATTAGACAGCTATTGCGTAAATCAACTACTGATGTAATCTGTCAAGTAGGGAATATAACGGAGTCCATAGGAATGCAGATTGATGACCCACACAGAGTTAAGACGACACTTGCGGCGACTCAAAGCACTTCACCGATAGTGAATAACAAAGAGATTCAAGCAGATATGGGATTCAAGACTGAACTGAAGCTCATACCAAAGGCTATAAACGACGTAGTGTGTCAAGTTGGACAGGTCAAGAGTGATATGTCAACGCAATCAGCAGAATTCACAGCTATCAAACCTGCCTACAGAGACACTGGTACTGACCCAGTTCAACCATGGGGAAAGAAGGTGGCCAATGATGTTGTCACGCAAACAGGAATCGTACACACATCGAAGATCACTCAAGCTGAACTGAAACAAGAACAGCCAGTATATGTGAAGACAATAGAAACTCAGGATGCACCGATCATATCTCACAGACAAACAGCAGATGCAGGCTTGCAGGTGGACTTCATTAGACAGCTATTGCGTAAATCAACTACTGATGTAATCTGTCAAGTAGGGAATATAACGGAGTCCATAGGAATGCAGATTGATGACCCACACAGAGTTAAGACGACACTTGCGGCGACTCAAAGCACTTCACCGATAGTGAATAACAAAGAGATTCAAGCAGATATGGGATTCAAGACTGAACTGAAGCTCATACCAAAGGCTATAAACGACGTAGTGTGTCAAGTTGGACAGGTCAAGAGTGATATGTCAACGCAATCAGCAGAATTCACAGCTATCAAACCTGCCTACAGAGACACTGGTACTGACCCAGTTCAACCATGGGGAAAGAAGGTGGCCAATGATGTTGTCACGCAAACAGGAATCGTACACACATCGAAGATCACTCAAGCTGAACTGAAACAAGAACAGCCAGTATATGTGAAGACAATAGAAACTCAGGATGCACCGATCATATCTCACAGACAAACAGCAGATGCAGGCTTGCAGGTGGACTTCATTAGACAGCTATTGCGTAAATCAACTACTGATGTAATCTGTCAAGTAGGGAATATAACGGAGTCCATAGGAATGCAGATTGATGACCCACACAGAGTTAAGACGACATTTGCGGCGACTCAAAGCACTTCACCGATAGTGAATAACAAAGAGATTCAAGCAGATATGGGATTCAAGACTGAACTGAAGCTCATACCAAAGGCTATAAACGACGTAGTGTGTCAAGTTGGACAGGTCAAGAGTGATATGTCAACGCAATCAGCAGAATTCACAGCTATCAACCTGCCTACAGAGACACTGGTACTGACCCAGTTCAACCATGGGGAAAGAAGGTGGCCAATGATGTTGTCACGCAAACAGGAATCGTACACACATCGAAGATCACTCAAGCTGAACTGAAACAAGAACAGCCAGTATATGTGACGACAACAGGAACACAAGACACACCTATTTATTCTCAGAAAAGACTGAGGATGTAGGACAACAGGTTGAACTAGTGAAAACGGCTACAACGTCATCATTGTGTGATGTTGTTTGCCAAGTAGGTAGCATTTTTGAAGATGCTGGGTTACAAACAGATGGCCTACATCGGAAAGAATCATTCGCTATAGGCACGGACAGCGTAAGAGCACCAATGACCGAATCGACGCATCAGTTTGAGCATCCTAAGGCCTCATTCTCTACACAGACCAGTGGAAAGCGTTCCATATCATGTTTTGACCTTGTTACACAGTGTGGAGTTGTTTATCACACTAAGAGTTCTCAAACTGTTGAGCCTTTTGTGCCTGTAGCAAAAGAAGTAATGGAGCTGATTCAAAAACCTATTGCTAAACCACAGTTAGATGTGGTAATTCAGACAGGAGTAGTGATGAAAACCGAAGGAACAATGACAAAAGATATTCTGGATAGAACACCACTAATGACATCAGTCGGAGTGGATTCAAAACCGAAAGTTACTACGAAAGATGTCGGTTCATATCCTGTTCCAACAAGCATAGACAGACAGAGCAGACAAGTACAGGTATACATAAAACCTGCGTCATGCCACAAAGATATTCAGGCAGAAACTTTATTAAAAGAAACTGCAACAATATCAGATTTGATCAAAGTAGCACAAACAAGACCGTCTGAAGTCGTTACGCAAACAGGTGTTTTAAAACAAAACGCAGACACCCAAACTATATTGAAAATGGAAGAAAAGTATTCAGTAGACAAGTTTGTGCAGAGTGAACTCAAACAAAGAGATCAGCAAACATTTACGACTAAACGAAGTGTGAATTATGATGTACAGACGCAATCAGGAACAGTGTATCAGTCACAAGCCTTCCAAACGCAACTGGATTACCGAACAACAGTTCAAACTAGAACTGCAGGAATACAATACGTCGCAGAAATACCAGCAAAGCAAATAAGCCACGTAGCAACAGAAACCGTGGACGTACCAGCAATAAAACGACTACAACAAAAACGATACGACACACAAACACAAACTGGAACAGTCCTAAAAACGGTAACAACACAAACCACAAAACAAACTGAAAAAAAACAAGACACAAGAGAAACAGCAGTACAACATACAAAAGAGAAAACAACGGATGAAAAAATGACACAATCAGCAGTCAATCGACCATTGGACCACATAAGTACACAGACTGATGTGGTACCACAGGCTATCGTTATGCCAGTGATGCAAACCACACATCAAGCACCACAGACACAAGAAACGCCAACACAAACGGAAAGAACAAGGGTGAGAGATCAGCAGTCATTCACATCGTTCCAGTCCAAAACATTCGATGTCCAGACTCAGTTCGGAAGTCTGGTCAAATCGCAAGCAGCACAAACGTTGGTCGAGCAGAGACCTGTCATAGAGATGAAGGAGCTGAGTACGCAGCACGAGAAACGTCCAGAGCCAATGGTACATAAGAAGCTGCAAGCTGTGGTACAACCGCCTATTACTCACATAGAGACCCAAACAGTGGAAGAAAGGCCGCCACCACCGGTCCTACCACGAAGCACCTTTGATGTGCAAACACAGTCTGGGATAGTCAGGGTCGATTCAGAGACTCAGACACCACAAGAGCGCAAACCAGTTGTGGAGGTGAGAGATGCAGGTGTGTATCATGCTCCCGAGACAGCTCAGACGATCCATAAGAAGCTACAGGCTACAGTTGTTCGACCACTGGACCACATAAGTACACAGACTGATGTGGTACCACAGGCTATCGTTATGCCAGTGATGCAAACCACACATCAAGCACCACAGACACAAGAAACGCCAACACAAACGGAAAGAACAAGGGTGAGAGATCAGCAGTCATTCACATCGTTCCAGTCCAAAACATTCGATGTCCAGACTCAGTTCGGAAGTCTGGTCAAATCGCAAGCAGCACAAACGTTGGTCGAGCAGAGACCTGTCATAGAGATGAAGGAGCTGAGTACGCAGCACGAGAAACGTCCAGAGCCAATGGTACATAAGAAGCTGCAAGCTGTGGTACAACCGCCTATTACTCACATAGAGACCCAAACAGTGGAAGAAAGGCCGCCACCACCGGTCATACCACGAAGCACCTTTGATGTGCAAACACAGTCTGGGATAGTCAGGGTCGATTCAGAGACTCAGACACCACAAGAGCGCAAACCAGTTGTGGAGGTGAGAGATGCAGGTGTGTATCATGCTCCCGAGACAGCTCAGACGATCCATAAGAAGCTACAGGCTACAGTTGTTCGACCACTGGACCACATAAGTACACAGACTGATGTGGTACCACAGGCTATCGTTATGCCAGTGATGCAAACCACACATCAAGCACCACAGACACAAGAAACGCCAACACAAACGGAAAGAACAAGGGTGAGAGATCAGCAGTCATTCACATCGTTCCAGTCCAAAACATTCGATGTCCAGACTCAGTTCGGAAGTCTGGTCAAATCGCAAGCAGCACAAACGTTGGTCGAGCAGAGACCTGTCATAGAGATGAAGGAGCTGAGTACGCAGCACGAGAAACGTCCAGAGCCAATGGTACATAAGAAGCTGCAAGCTGTGGTACAACCGCCTATTACTCACATAGAGACCCAAACAGTGGAAGAAAGGCCGCCACCACCGGTCATACCACGAAGCACCTTTGATGTGCAAACACAGTCTGGGATAGTCAGGGTCGATTCAGAGACTCAGACACCACAAGAGCGCAAACCAGTTGTGGAGGTGAGAGATGCAGGTGTGTATCATGCTCCCGAGACAGCTCAGACGATCCATAAGAAGCTACAGGCTACAGTTGTTCGACCACTGGACCACATAAGTACACAGACTGATGTGGTACCACAGGCTATCGTTATGCCAGTGATGCAAACCACACATCAAGCACCACAGACACAAGAAACGCCAACACAAACGGAAAGAACAAGGGTGAGAGATCAGCAGTCATTCACATCGTTCCAGTCCAAAACATTCGATGTCCAGACTCAGTTCGGAAGTCTGGTCAAATCGCAAGCAGCACAAACGTTGGTCGAGCAGAGACCTGTCATAGAGATGAAGGAGCTGAGTACGCAGCACGAGAAACGTCCAGAGCCAATGGTACATAAGAAGCTGCAAGCTGTGGTACAACCGCCTATTACTCACATAGAGACCCAAACAGTGGAAGAAAGGCCGCCACCACCGGTCCTACCACGAAGCACCTTTGATGTGCAAACACAGTCTGGGATAGTCAGGGTCGATTCAGAGACTCAGACACCACAAGAGCGCAAACCAGTTGTGGAGGTGAGAGATGCAGGTGTGTATCATGCTCCCGAGACAGCTCAGACGATCCATAAGAAGCTACAGGCTACAGTTGTTCGACCACTGGACCACATAAGTACACAGACTGATGTGGTACCACAGGCTATCGTTATGCCAGTGATGCAAACCACACATCAAGCACCACAGACACAAGAAACGCCAACACAAACGGAAAGAACAAGGGTGAGAGATCAGCAGTCATTCACATCGTTCCAGTCCAAAACATTCGATGTCCAGACTCAGTTCGGAAGTCTGGTCAAATCGCAAGCAGCACAAACGTTGGTCGAGCAGAGACCTGTCATAGAGATGAAGGAGCTGAGTACGCAGCACGAGAAACGTCCAGAGCCAATGGTACATAAGAAGCTGCAAGCTGTGGTACAACCGCCTATTACTCACATAGAGACCCAAACAGTGGAAGAAAGGCCGCCACCACCGGTCATACCACGAAGCACCTTTGATGTGCAAACACAGTCTGGGATAGTCAGGGTCGATTCAGAGACTCAGACACCACAAGAGCGCAAACCAGTTGTGGAGGTGAGAGATGCAGGTGTGTATCATGCTCCCGAGACAGCTCAGACGATCCATAAGAAGCTACAGGCTACAGTTGTTCGATCACTGGACCACATAAGTACACAGACTGATGTGGTACCACAGGCTATCGTTATGCCAGTGATGCAAACAACTTTAAGCGGCACCAAAGCAACAGATGAAACCACGCAGACAGACAGAAAATCTCTTCACGACAAGGAATCTGTCGCGAGTATAAGAGCAGTTACGACTGATGTGCAGACTCAATCGGGTGTTGTTCACACAACGCAAGCCTCACAGACACATTTAGAGTATAGACCAAGGATAAATATGAAAGAGTGTAGCACGCAGTATGAACCTGCTATAAAAATGCCTTGAACAAAGACGTTCAAGTTGACGTTTATCCTCCAGTGTCCCATCGGAACGTGCAAACACAGGAAATTCAAACAGTACCGACGGTCATGCAGAAATACCTGTTCGATGTGCAAACACAGTCTGGAATTATTAAGAGACCGCAGGAAGCTCAAACGGTCTCGGAAATGCCAACCGCGTTGGAAACAATGGATGTGAGTGTTATCCATGAAGATAAAAGACAATTTATTAACAAAAAGTTGCAGGCAATCGTGAAAATGCCATCGGAAGACATGACTGTACAAACAGAAGTCATAGAGAAAACTCCATCCCTCACACTACCTAGAAGCATATTCGACGTACAAACACAATCAGGAATTGTGAAAACCAATTCGGAAACACAAACTCCACAAGAAACCAAACCAACTGTAGATATGAAGGACGTCAGTGTACTCCATGCGCCGCATGCAGTACAGTCAACCAACAAAAAGATACAGGTTGTGATATCTTGCCCATCTGATAGCAAGTGTTTGCAAACAGATGACTTCACGATACAGGCAGCAAAGTCAGTAGTGCAAACAGCTCGACCTGCACCACAAGTCGTCGATGAGCAATTACAAACAGAGTTCATCAAGAGCATAATAAATACCTTTGATGTGCAAACACAGTCAGGAACTGTTTACAGCTCACAAGCTGTACAAACTATTCCCGAGCAGCGACCATTGAAGGCGACACCACCAGTGTTAACGAAGAACACGTTCGACGTCGTGACTCAGTCAGGCACTATCCACTGTGCACAGGCTGTTCAGACTATTCCTGAGCAGCGACCGTTGATGGAAACAGCAGATGTCAGTGTGATTCACAGAGAGAGAACTCCATCGTCGAACAGGAAATTGCAGGCAAGCATTCGTCAACCAGTCAGTGACACTAGTACACAGACTGATCAAATGAAGGCGACACCACCAGTGTTAACGAAGAACACGTTCGACGTCGTGACTCAGTCAGGCACTATCCACTGTGCACAGGCTGTTCAGACTATTCCTGAGCAGCGACCGTTGATGGAAACAGCAGATGTCAGTGTGATTCACAGAGAGAGAACTCCATCGTCGAACAGGAAATTGCAGGCAAGCATTCGTCAACCAGTCAGTGACACTAGTACACAGACTGATCAAATGAAGGCGACACCACCAGTGTTAACGAAGAACACGTTCGACGTCGTGACTCAGTCAGGCACTATCCACTGTGCACAGGCTGTTCAGACTATTCCTGAGCAGCGACCGTTGATGGAAACAGCAGATGTCAGTGTGATTCACAGAGAGAGAACTCCATCGTCGAACAGGAAATTGCAGGCAAGCATTCGTCAACCAGTCAGTGACACTAGTACACAGACTGATCAAATGAAGGCGACACCACCAGTGTTAACGAAGAACACGTTCGACGTCGTGACTCAGTCAGGCACTATCCACTGTGCACAGGCTGTTCAGACTATTCCTGAGCAGCGACCGTTGATGGAAACAGCAGATGTCAGTGTGATTCACAGAGAGAGAACTCCATCGTCGAACAGGAAATTGCAGGCAAGCATTCGTCAACCAGTCAGTGACACTAGTACACAGACTGATCAAATGAAGGCGACACCACCAGTGTTAACGAAGAACACGTTCGATGTTGTGACGCAGTCGGGTACAATATTTAAGTCTGAAGGTTGTCAGGCGGTCTGTGAGGAACTGGTGCTCTCAAGGAAGGATTTGTATGTATTAAAAGAAAGAAAGGATGCCGAGTTGATAGACGGTGCAGTTCAAGCTTGTGTGCAGGTTTCAAAAGGAAACATGAGTGTTCAATGTTCCACACTGGACGTACGTTCTTTGAAGGTATTTGACGTAGAAACTCAGTCAGGAATAATTTATCGGCCAGCGGAATGTCAAACAATTAGTTTACCTTCTGTAAATGTAAAGGAAGGTAGTATGGAGCATACGACGACTTCTGCACAAACAATTAACAAAAAACTGCAAGCAACGATTTCCCATCCAGTGACCGAAAAAGGTGTACAAACACTTGACTTGACCCTGACAGCTGCTATGCCAATGGTCCATACAGCTGAAAGATATTCAAAGCTCCATGAAACAGCCATGCAGACAGACAGAAAATCTCTTCACGACAAGGAATCTGTCGCGAGTATAAGAGCAGTTACGACTGATGTGCAGACTCAATCGGGTGTTGTTCACACAACGCAAGCCTCACAGACACATTTAGAGTATAGACCAAGGATAAATATGAAAGAGTGTAGCACGCAGTATGAACCTGCTATAAAAAATGCCTTGAACAAAGACGTTCAAGTTGACGTTTATCCTCCAGTGTCCCATCGGAACGTGCAAACACAGGAAATTCAAACAGTACCGACGGTCATGCAGAAATACCTGTTCGATGTGCAAACACAGTCTGGAATTATTAAGAGACCGCAGGAAGCTCAAACGGTCTCGGAAATGCCAACCGCGTTGGAAACAATGGATGTGAGTGTTATCCATGAAGATAAAAGACAATTTATTAACAAAAAGTTGCAGGCAATCGTGAAAATGCCATCGGAAGACATGACTGTACAAACAGAAGTCATAGAGAAAACTCCATCCCTCACACTACCTAGAAGCATATTCGACGTACAAACACAATCAGGAATTGTGAAAACCAATTCGGAAACACAAACTCCACAAGAAACCAAACAACTGTAGATATGAAGGACGTCAGTGTACTCCATGCGCCGCATGCAGTACAGTCAACCAACAAAAAGATACAGGTTGTGATATCTTGCCCATCTGATAGCAAGTGTTTGCAAACAGATGACTTCACGATACAGGCAGCAAAGTCAGTAGTGCAAACAGCTCGACCTGCACCACAAGTCGTCGATGAGCAATTACAAACAGAGTTCATCAAGAGCATAATAAATACCTTTGATGTGCAAACACAGTCAGGAACTGTTTACAGCTCACAAGCTGTACAAACTATTCCCGAGCAGCGACCATTGAAGGCGACACCACCAGTGTTAACGAAGAACACGTTCGACGTCGTGACTCAGTCAGGCACTATCCACTGTGCACAGGCTGTTCAGACTATTCCTGAGCAGCGACCGTTGATGGAAACAGCAGATGTCAGTGTGATTCACAGAGAGAGAACTCCATCGTCGAACAGGAAATTGCAGGCAAGCATTCGTCAACCAGTCAGTGACACTAGTACACAGACTGATCAAATGAAGGCGACACCACCAGTGTTAACGAAGAACACGTTCGACGTCGTGACTCAGTCAGGCACTATCCACTGTGCACAGGCTGTTCAGACTATTCCTGAGCAGCGACCGTTGATGGAAACAGCAGATGTCAGTGTGATTCACAGAGAGAGAACTCCATCGTCGAACAGGAAATTGCAGGCAAGCATTCGTCAACCAGTCAGTGACACTAGTACACAGACTGATCAAATGAAGGCGACACCACCAGTGTTAACGAAGAACACGTTCGACGTCGTGACTCAGTCAGGCACTATCCACTGTGCACAGGCTGTTCAGACTATTCCTGAGCAGCGACCGTTGATGGAAACAGCAGATGTCAGTGTGATTCACAGAGAGAGAACTCCATCGTCGAACAGGAAATTGCAGGCAAGCATTCGTCAACCAGTCAGTGACACTAGTACACAGACTGATCAAATGAAGGCGACACCACCAGTGTTAACGAAGAACACGTTCGACGTCGTGACTCAGTCAGGCACTATCCACTGTGCACAGGCTGTTCAGACTATTCCTGAGCAGCGACCGTTGATGGAAACAGCAGATGTCAGTGTGATTCACGGAAAGAGAATACCATCTTCGAACAGAAATGTAGAAGTTTCTGTGGTTCCAAGGGTCTTGGTGAAGTCTACTCAGACGAGGCCGACTAATGTTTTTGAAGTTGCAATTCAATCTACAGGTGATATGATTACTTCTTGGATGCAAACTGTTTCTGAATTTCAGCGTGTGGGGAATATGAGGGATGCGACTGTCGGTGTTACTTCGAAGTATACAGAACCTTTGGATGTGTACATGCGTTCGCAATCTATGATGCGTCCACGAATCGCTAGTGTAGCTTTTGGTATGCAAACTGAAGAATCTTTTCCGGTTGTATTACGGAAGGAGGTTTTTGATGTGCAGACGGAATCTGGGAAAGTGTTTAGTGTTGTCGGTGTTCAAACCGATCTTTTGAAAGAGGATATGTATAAGCGACAAGATGAATCACCTGTATTCGACGTACAAACCCAGTCAGGAATTCTATCCAAAGTCGCTCATGTTCAGACTGAAGCTGTATCAACTATGCTGCCACTCGATGAGCAAACACAAAGCTTTGATGTTCAGGTGCAATCAGGTATAATGACTGACTGTTCTTCAGTACAAACCTTAGGATACATCTCCTCTGCTTATGTTTCCAACGCCAGTTATTTCATTTCGGATGACTTACGTGTTGCCATAACTGAAGATAGAAGTGTCTCACATATGCCAACCATACCAGCTTTGAAAAATAAGAAGCTTCAGGTTTCTTCAAGTTTAGTACATGCAACTGTTCAAGCTGGGGAGCTGAAGGCTACCAAACTTTCAACCATTACATCCACAACACATATGATTCCGGTCAGCTCACAATCAACACAAACTGCTCAAAGTAAACTAACAGATACTTCATGTCAAGTAACATTACCCTCATCTGCATATGATGTGCAAACTCAGTTCGGGGTATTACATTCAATGGAGGGAACACAGACAGTGGACTTCGGTCCATCGATTGAGACGAAGGAAATGACTGTAGTACATGAAAAAGAACCCACTCTTCTGAAAGGCAAGAAACTACAAGTACGCTGTGACTTGACTGATTCAGAAGTTCAAACAGAGGAAATGGTACCCACTGTTCACCCAACAATGTCATCAACAATGCATACTATCCCATTCAGCTCACAATCAACACAAACTGCTCAAAGTAAACTAACAGATACTTCATGTCAAGTAACATTACCCTCATCTGCATATGATGTGCAAACTCAGTTCGGGGTATTACATTCAATGGAGGGAACACAGACAGTGGACTTCGGTCCATCGATTGAGACGAAGGAAATGACTGTAGTACATGAAAAAGAACCCACTCTTCTGAAAGGCAAGAAACTACAAGTACGCTGTGACTTGACTGATTCAGAAGTTCAAACAGAGGAAATGGTACCCACTGTTCACCCAACAATGTCATCAACAATGCATACTATCCCATTCAGCTCACAATCAACACAAACTGCTCAAAGTAAACTAACAGATACTTCATGTCAAGTAACATTACCCTCATCTGCATATGATGTGCAAACTCAGTTCGGAGTATTACATTCAATGGAGGGAACACAGACAGTGGACTTCGGTCCATCGATTGAGACGAAGGAAATGACTGTAGTACATGAAAAAGAACCCACTCTTCTGAAAGGCAAGAAACTACAAGTACGCTGTGACTTGACTGATTCAGAAGTTCAAACAGACCAAACAGGTCAAATTATGCTTCATGAAACTAAACCAATCCAAACTATCCTTGCACCACATATAGATGCATCGTGTCAATACACTATGATCGTAGAACCTATTTCAACAAGTTATACTATAACTTCACAAGCTGTTAGTCTTCAAACTGACTTACCTTCATTTCATATACAACGCCCAGATCAACGAAACAAGAAATTCCAAGTAAATCTAATCTCTTCATCATCACCAAGACCTTTTGCAACAAATATGATTTCTTCAGAAACACAGACCGTAACACATGAATATCAAGATGTTGGTATGAAACAGGTTGATAAGACAGCCACTTCACCATCAGTACATCCATATATGATTCATTCTTCAATTTCCAATATTGAAAATACTTCACAAATAATACCAAAGATAAAAATAGATCAAGAATGTCAAGTGAAAATAACTGCTCAACAATTTGAGAAAAAATTGCAATATGGTTCTTCATTTTCTACACTCAAAGAAATTTCATGTCAAACTGTAGCAGATGAAAAACCATATCATCATGATTATCCCCTTATTTATCTACAAGCGTTGCAATTCAAGTGAGTAATCTTATCAAATCAAGTGATACAGTCGATGCAGAGACTCAAGAGACTCGACCGATTGAAACTAAAGCATCACATGTACAAGTGAAAAATAAAAAACTACAAGTATCTTCATTCGAAGTTGGTGGACAGGTAGAAACATCAAAAAAGGCAAACTAATGACCTCAATAACTGAAACCACACAAACAGATGATAATTTACCAAAATCTGTTAAATGTGATAAAAAGATACAATGTATTTGTAAAACTGTTGATAAAGATGTACAATCAGAAGAAAAACCAGTGAAAACAAAACAGACAGCATCTGGTACAACGAAATCCAGTTATTTTACACGTATTCTTCAAATGGAAACTGTACCTGATAGACCAGAAGAGAAAAAAGAAGATTCTTCTTCAGACATAGTTTATCATCGTAGTCATCAAGTTATAACTGATACAAAGAGTGTTGGTACTGATGAATTTCTATTAAGAAGTATCCGATTACCTGAAGAAAGCAAAGATGCTGACAATATGGGTAAGATTTCAAAAACAACAACAACAACAATTGTTCAGTTACAAAAATCCACTGAAAATAAGTGTGTAGATATTATTCCTGTTCATTATGAACTTGTGCAGTCTCAAACTTCCTATGATGATATTCATACATCTGAAACAAGGCATGTTAGATTGCAGAAAGGAACACCATGGTCAGATGTAAGAGTAGCAGATGTTTCACAAGACATTTCATCAGCACTGGTTGATTCAATTGGAAGTTATTTCCCTCAACATCATTCGGTTGCAGTCAGTGCAAGATTGAGCCATTCAGTTTCTCCTACAGCGTCAACGAGTAGAAATGGTAATGGGAACGGTAAACCTACATATCCACATTCAAAACCAAATGTTGTAAGTTGGGGAATACAATTTGCACCGGTAATGCTTACAGGAGTGACACAAACCACTGAAACTCTGAAACATAGAACAACTCCTGACTTATCAGTGAGTGTAGGTGTTCAAGCTGATTCAGAATACACAGGTGAAGACGATTACTACATAAAAAGGGTTGTGACAACGATAGCAAGAAAAGGACTATCATCCTACTGTCGTAGAGGTCCAGTAGCCAAGAAGATCGTGGAACATACTGATTTATTAACATCAAGTCTGCCTAGTAATCTAGATGATGAGTTGGATGAAGAAGTTACAGCGGGACCGAAAGCAACGAAAAAATAAAAACTATTCAAAAACGTGGAGATCGTCGGGTGGTACGTGAAGAATTATTTACAGAAGACTATAGAGAAAGAGGAAGTTCTTTAGACTCATGTTTAGCTCATGGACGATCTTTGAGAGAGGGACACCTACAGGATATAGATGTACATGATATACATGAACACGAAGCAGACATATATGCTGATGCTGAGGTTTGTTTACAAAATTTACTAAGAGTATGGGGACAGCAGTATTTGTTATCAAGAGTCAGAATGATTGGCAGATCTACAGAGCTTTCAGTTAGTCTTGATCGAAGTATGCATGCTGCAGGAAAATCACGTTTGGTAGAGGCAAAAACACAGTTCACATCAACTGGTAACTTAGTAACCTCATTGAAAAATCTTACAAATGCAGGAACACAGACTAGCGACATTACATTTATCACTCGTCCACCACACAAGAACAAACGAATTCAACGTGGTCATAGTTTCATCTCTAGAGGAACAAATCAACCGTTACCCACACATAGTGGTTCAGCAGTTAGCCCATTGTCGCCAACTACAGAAGAATTAACTAGCCATCATCGTCAACAAGGGATAACAAGCATGCAGACACGTACTTCGCATCCATATAACTTAACTTCTACTACATTTACAGAGACTACACAAGAACAATCAACATTCAGTGTTGAACATACAATTCAAACATACATATGCCCAACATGTGGAAGTCATGCAAATATTCCAGTAATAGTTCATTCATCTATACAGCCTCAAGCACTTCCAATAACTCAACTAAAAGATGCTCAATCACAAACTCGATTCACCGAACAACTAACTACTGATGAAAATTGCACCTATCTACCAACATATCTAAGTGATGAAGAAGTTATCCGTATAAATCAAAGTCAGAAAATAGAAGATGATAAAGAATTTTCAATGGTAACATGGCATCCAGCAGAAATGAAGGAAACAGAGCGTCGAAGAGATACTGATCGAAGTAAACAGTTAAGAGATGAAGTTTGGGTTGATAGTCCTGGAAAATTACTTGAACTCAAGATAACTGGAGTAATAGTGCCTGGAACAAATAAATTTATTAGTGCAGGTGAAGCATTTTATCGTGGCTTATTAAGAGTTGTATACTGGGATTATGAAAAACTTGGACCAAGACAGTCATCAATTGACTCATCAGTTTCTATACCACTTACAGATGCAATTATTTCTAAAGCAGTACGTTTAGCCTGTGACAAGACATCAACAGAGACACAACCATCATTGGATGCTAAAGTAGTCTGGAGGACACCAGAGATACAACGAAGTAGGTATTTAGTACACTCAATCAGACCAGATGCTGGTCAGAATAGACATGGTCCGATTAATCTTGACATTGCCTCTGCAATACGTGCAGGTTTAATTGATAAAGAAACAGGTTGTATGGTGTTTACACATTCAATTTACGGATCACCAACAAGTATCGAATCATCGACAGTTAAGAAAGAAGGTGATAGTAGCTCTGAACAACTGAAAGATTATCTATTCGAGAAGCAATTGTTCGAGGATACTTAGTTGCAGAGTTAATTGAACCCGAATCCTCTCGTACAACGAAACAAAGTTTACTATTTCATACTCCAAGCACAAGTTTTGTTCACTCTCCAACGGACGTTGATATTTAACAGTTTAAAAGTAAGAAAACAAGGAAAAACAAACACATGTGGAAATGAACTACACTTTTTTGTTTAAAACAAACTCTTTGAGGTGAGTATACATATACACAAGCGCACACATGCATACACACACACGCCGCATACAATATTAGCATTCTGGTTATAATCACTACCTAAATGAGTTAATAAAGCATTGAAGGAACACTCAATTGTAGCAAGTTCTCTTAAACGCCTTTTTCGTTCTACTTCTTGTTTTTCCTCCATTCGCTTTTCTGTTTTATTTGCTACTTCTCACTTCATATGAGATGATTTATAAACTTCCCAACATATACGTAATAACCATCATAATAAGTAATAATTCTTTTCGTTGTTTTGTTTAGCGACCAGTTGACAGCTCATATTTTATAAAAAATTTGCTTAAGTCTGTCTGTCAATCTCTATTATAGTGTGAAATCTTATCATGTCAAATAATTTTACGGGTGTTTTTTTCGTGGCAAAAAGTTATCCAATAAAATTTAGCAATATTACTGGATGAATCGTATTAACGAATTTTTCATTGAGTTCTCGGATTAGAGTGGAGTTGAATGATAGTAATGATGGAAGTGACGATAATAACAATGAATCAAGTCAATCCAGATTGTGTTGTTGCTGGTGCAGAGATGATTAAGTCAGAACCAATGTTGAAGGTAAATGCTAGTCACTCTTCCTGCTTACTAATTAATAAGTACCAAGAGGCAGCTAACTGTAATCTATTTCATCTGTTCAAACTGTCTGGATTTGCTCATATCTGTAGGGCTTCAGCTGTCAATCTTTCTTAATATGACCAAAAACCTTTTTGTAGAACCTTAGTTCCGTCAAAGTCAATTTTGTGACCCATTTCTACGAAGCATAGCTCAATTCCCGATTTGTTTTCTGGTTTCTTAACCTCCGCTGAGATTTTCAGAATGTTTTAGGTACAGTCTATGTTCCTTCACCCTTACATTTACCTCTCTGGCTGTGTAACCGACAAATACTGCAGTACAATCTGCGCATTTGATTTCGTAACAGTAGTTCTGTTGATTTTCTTTAAATGTTGCACTTTTAACTTTCATCAAATTAGAGTAGAGGGTATTTTTTGCACGAAAACAAACACTTTTGTCATGTTGGTTTAAAATCGTTCTTATTTCTCCTGTGGTCTCCTTACGATATGGGATTATTACTGTGTTTATCCATTCTTTGGAGGGCGTCGGTACATCCTTAATTTCGTTCTTAAAAATTCTTTACGAAATATTTAGGATAACGTTTTGCTCCTAGTGGGCGGCAAACTAACTAAATCTTCCTCTTTCGTTGTAACAAGACGGTTAGCCTTGTTGATCAGATTCTCCACGACTGTTACTTTAGTAGTCACAAAATGTATATACTGATAATCTATGTATATGTCAGAATGTGTTGTTTTTCCAAAAACCTTAGTCTTTAGTCTATTGTAATGTTGTCTTTCCACTATATAGTCCGTAAAGGCTAATTTCGATAAGTTGGATTCAGCTTCCTTGGTGAAAGTAATACTTCCGCACCCATTTATTTATATGACGGAAGAGTTCATCCAGATTCCAAGACCACTATTAATTGTTATGAAGAGTACGAGAGTATGTTCCTTCAGCATATTTTTATAACATATAACATTTTTAAAGTTAAATAACCTAACATTTATCAGGGAATATAGAGTTGATCGCTTATGTATCTGATTTCATTTTGATCAATAACTATTCAATAATATCTGCATACACTGTCATGCTCCAGTGATCTAGTGGATAACGGATTCATGTTTAATGCAATGGGCATTGGATCAAATCTCAATGGGAACAATATCACTCGTCATTGGGTTGCAGACACATCCAGCTGACGGATCCTAAATAGGACGAAACGCAGCTCCTGAATTCCACTACTAGTCACCAATATGAATGTAGGATCTAAGAAAAGACACAAAGAAAATTAAGAGATTATGAGAAAGGATCGATAAACACAAAAGTATGATGTCCAACTTCCGTAAACTCATAGAAAAATTTATGTTAACTATTTTAGGAAAAGGGTAATTTATTCAGCATGGAGATTTATGCTGTAGACTATTAGGGATACGTATTTTATGCAATGTCTCTCTAGTGGAAAAAGGTTAAAGATAGCTAGAATAAAACGTTATATCAATCCCTGAAGTCTCTGTTTTTTTTGTTGATACCATTAATTTCATGTTATTATATTGAGTCAAATTGATCAACGTCTACTGGCATATGAGCTCCTATGCGGATGCCTCTATACTGCAAGTTTCATTCCAAGGTTATTCGCTCGGTGATGGCTAGCAGTCGAACTAATGGCGCATGTTTCATCCAGTATGAGACTTTTCAGCTGGATGTACTTACATCGTACTGAGTGATGATGTTACCACAGGGACTCGACCCAGTACCCATAGTTGTAAACGCCTGAGAATTGTCCACTATGCTAGTTATAAACCAGAGCCAACTGTTGTACAATAGGGATCGTCTTGACTAATTGATATATTTAACTTTCCATTGCGATACTGGATTGAACTGGTCAACCTGTGTTGGGATAATGAATTTCTAACTGTTGGTTCGAACCATGCAGGGAAATGTACACTTGCAGATCGGGTCCCACAATGCAACCGGAATCGGTGGTTGCATACTCTAGGTGATGGATAGTTTGGCTCAGAATCTATCTCAATGGTGCAGATATATTCATATACAATCGTCATACCATATTTCATCTCGTTGCTTTAACCTTTCTAAATCACCAGGTATAACTTCCTACGACTTTTATGTACATTTTTCTCCTTATTTCTCTATATTTCTTCTTATTATTGCCTCGTCTCTTGATATCGTTAACTGAGGAGTAGTGAATTGAACGACTACATAACAATGTTACGTCCCATGCTGTTATTAGCAGACTGTCTAGTAGAAGTAATAATCATTTTCTACCCGTAAGGATCGTAAAATGAATTACAAAAAAGAATAGAAAATCATATTTTTATGTGGAAAGATCCAAGGCTTCTGAATAGTTGGTTTTTGAAATTTAACTTTAGATCACTATTCACCACAATGTCATGTAATTTATCTTGGTGGCGATAATGCAAACCTGATTTATATACATACAGTAAGTAACAGCTGCACTGACTGCTAGATACTAGCCAATTTGTGAACACGCTCCAGTCACACAGAGAGTTAATCTAGTGGTAATTTATCTAACTCTATCATTGACTGGTGGGGTTACGAATCCTTGAGGAAATTACAATTTCTTTATGATTGAAGACACGAATTGATGATTGAATGCGAACAAGCATGAAAATTAGGTCGTGTTTGAGTACTGTCCACCTGTCATATGACTGAAGTGAAATAAAGATCTACTCGGTAGTTGGGTCTCAGAGCTCAGTTCGTAAGGCATCGAGCCAAAAAACTATAGGTGACTAGTTTGAACTTTGCACCGAGTGAGGCTTTCTATTAAACTCCATTGTCACCTCACAAAAATATAAGATTTATTCAAAGAAGGAACCAGAAGTTACTAGTGGACAAATGGTGTAGGAAAATCGATCGGAACGATAACTTTTGGGTTCATTTATGGGATGTGTACACTAACATCTCGTGAAACAGTTGGTAACATTTACGCAGAAATATCCATTACACATCCTTAGCTAAACGGTGAAGGTTTTCAGCTTACGTTGAGTTTCATCAGATTGCAAACAACTCGTAATCACGTAGAGATTCGTGATGTCATGGCCGACATCTTTTAGGCTGATTACTCAAACCACAAAACGTGAAGCAGGGTTCTATTCTCTGACTAACTGGTTGCAAGTCAGGTTTTGGGGCAACTGAGTCACAGTTTGACTACTATATAATCCTCGTTGAATACTGTTCTTTGCATTGAAAGCAATTATAAAAACGTACCAATTCCTACACATGAGATTACCTCCTAAAGCTACCTACAATGAATTAAATTGCTCAGGCCGAGACAACCTCGATCAGTCACAGCAGAACCACCTCCTAGATAAAACCAGGTGATTTAAACACCAGATGGCAGCTTCACTCCTTAAGGACCGCGTTCATCAGTGATGTAAATAAATTGACTTAGTTTTTCCCTTTAGGTCTTCAGGTACCGTACAAACACAACAACTATGTTGGCAGTCGGATGGTACCAACGACCCCTAGAATTCCAGCAGGATACGAAACAAAGTCACCTTAACTTTTTCTTCTCCCTTATCTTCACTTCCTGAAACCAATGTTAAGCCTCTTACAACTCCATCAACCTACTAATCAGCGACCATTGTTAACAATCAAAGCTCGTAAAATACTATTCTTTGTCTACTGAAACGTCCCATGTAGATTTCACATTGGAAATCAGAACGTTCAAAGCGAATGGGATATCAAACAACAGGGAACTTTTGGAGAAACCTTAGCATCTCACTCCATGGGTATGTGCTGCACTTGGGAGATTCGGTTAATCACTTAACTTCTTTCAGATTCACCATTCAAGTTACTAGAGATTCTGTGACTAGCTGTCGCAGTCTTGCAGCTGCACATATAACGTTACTTATAAGGCAGAAAATGCACTCCTAAACTGAATACGAAGCAAAAGTCATCTGCGCACTGTTCGATTGAATGGATCTGTACGAAGTAGTAAGGGTAGTGAGACATATCGATGGTTATTCGTAGTCTCCGCCTATGCATCCACCGACTACGGTTTGGATACTAAAAAGGATAAATTCTATCAAAAGCTGTCAACTTTGCTCTACAATCCAAAACCTTCAGCAGGTGACTTTAATGCTTAAGTAGGAAAACTGAGCCAAACGGAAAGGTAACGAAAGTCAGTAGACCACCAACGGTGATCGTCTCTTGCAATTTTGTTCTAAAACTCCAGTGTTTC